AAAACCTTTTCTAAAGGGCCCCCCCCCCCCCCCCCGCCACCACTGTGAGGAGTTGAGGCTCAGTGATAGAGCACTTACCTAGAGTCCCCCAGTATAGATCTGGGGGTATGGCTCATTGGCAGAACATATGCCTAGAATCCATCAGTCTCAAACAAGATAGGAGGTGAAAAGTGACACCCCCTGCCATAGCATGTACATGCCCACAATCACATAGGAGAACACACACACAGACACACACACACACACACACACAGACACACATACACATACACGGGATGGTTTAATGATAATAAGTGGTGACTGACCAACTGTATCTCTAGAATCACTAGAACTTACGACAACAGGATAGTGAAGGGGTGGGGAGACACATTTATTCACATGCTGTCTGTGGATCAAACTCTTCAGGAAAGGAACACTGAGAAGCACAGAGTGATTTAAAACAATGCTGAATGCATCTAACTGAAATAGTACACTGAAAAATTCAGAGTTACCAAGAAAAATGATCTATCTAGTAGGTTAAAGTCCAAATGGAAATTATCAAAGCACAGGAAGCACTGGCAGCACAGAGGACAGGAACCCCAAGGTGGTAGAGGTGACTGAGTTTCATCGTGGCAGTTGGTGCAGTTTCCTCTGTGGTTACTCTGCTTGGGTAAGGGTTTCTGTGGGCTCCCAAGGGGTGGGGGCAGCACATATGTCCTCCCATTGGATGACAGCAGCTGCTTTCAGACAGCACTGTCTCTGGGATGGAGGGAGTTAACTCCAAAGCCACAGAATTTCACTGGGGAAGTTTAACCATCACCCTGCATTAGACCAAGTTCTTGTGGTACCCTTTAAGTCCCACTGTGGCACAGGGTGAGAGGATGAATGGCCTGCTGGTTTCTACAGGGTTTAGATATGCCAACAAGCCAGCCAGGGAGACTGATGAGGACATGTGTGTCTGTGTGAAGAAGTCCCACATTCCTGAGCAAAGCAAAGTATGAATGTGGGCCAGGGGAACTAACTGGGCCTGTAAGGCCCTGCACTACTGCTAACAACCCAGAACAGAGGGTCAAGAGTTGGCCCTGGGGCTAGGGAATGGCTTAGTTAGTGCAGTGCTTGCTGTGTAACCATGAGGGCCTGAGTTTGGATCCCCAGCATCCAGGTGTGGTGGCATATGTCTGTAATCCCAGCCCTGGAGAAATGAAAACACAGGAGGATCCCTGAAGCTCACTGTCCTGGCTGCCAGACTTGGCAATTTGTGAACTCCAGGTTCTTTGACAGACCCTGTCTCAAAAAAATAAGGTGGAGTCATGCGCCTTTAATCCCAGCAGAGGAGGCAGAGGTAGGCAGATCTTTTGGAGTTCCAGGCCAGCCTGGTTTACATAGTAAGTTCCTGGTTAGCCAGGGCTATGTAGTGAGACTCAATCTGAAAAAGAGGTGGAGAGTGATTGAGGGAGACATACAGTCTCAACTTCTGACCTCCACAGACACACACGTACATGCAAACACATGATCATATGGACCACACACACAAAGGACAAGATTGCTGGGGGGAGGGGAGTAAGTCCTTCACCCCACCACAATAGGGTAGGGTCTCCTCAGAAGAGAACCCCTACTGTTATCTATTAGAGCAACATGTGAGTAAAATACAGGCTTCATTACTGGCAACCCAAGATAGCACCACAGAGGGAAGCACGCATCTCTGTGAGATGAGAAGAGCCTTCCATAACAAGAAAATGTAGTTACAACTGCAGCTTCATATTGCCTGTCTAGATGCTAGCAGGAGAATAGCTAGGAGATGGCACCTTCGTCACAGTTCATATTAATGCCAGTTCCTCCTCTCTGTTCTGCATGGAGGGGTCTGCTAGTAAGTGTTCCTGTTCCAGGTCACTCTGCCTTCCTCTTGCCCAGTCAGGGAGGAAGTAAGCCTCTTCTACACGTGTCTGAACACAGGGAGCCTGTGCAGAGCTGCTCATGGGATCCTGCTTAGTCTTCCTCTCTGCTCCAGATAAAGGGACATGATTTTCCCAGAGTACATTTCAACAGAGAAATGTCTCATCTCTTAAAATGCAAAGCATGTGGGCCGGCCAGATGGCTCCAAGGGTAAAAGCACTTGCTACAAAAGCCTGATGACTGGAGTTCGATCCCCAGAGCCCACGTAAAAAAAAGGCAGATGCAGTGGCAGACACCCATAGTCCAGTACTCTGATGGGATGAGAGGGAGAGACAGGAGAATCACCCAGAAGCTAGTCTGGAGTACACAGCACAGCAGAAACAAGAGACCTGGCCTCAGCAAGAACCAACACCTGAAAGTTGTCCTCTGACTTCCATATGCAGGCAGTGGTATATGCGTGCACACACAGAAACATCCAGACACACACACAGAAAAAAAAAAAGGAAAAGTGCAGACCAGACTCCCCCATAACCTGGGGCAGAGGTTTCAGTGGGAAGAAGAGTTACTACAATTTAGGGACAGATCTGATGCAAGCGACTCATTGGACTGATGCTGTATGCTGGTCACATGGCAAGGGGTTGAGAACCTTCTAGGAACACTTACTTTGCAGTAGTTTCTTCATCGTATTTGGTTTTCAGGTCAAATAATTCTGTTCGAGTTTTTTCCAGGGCTAAAAAGCAAGGACAGAAACCAGGATATAAGACACCAATCTTGTTTGTTTTGAGATAGGCTCTATGTAGCCCATGCTAGCCTTGAAATCCTTATGTAGCCAAGGATGACCTTGAATTCCTGACCCTCCTGCCTCTGTCTCTCTAGTGCTCAGCTTATAAGTGTGCACCACCCCCATGCCTGGTTTATGGGGTATTGGGGATCAAACTCAGGGTTTTGTGTGAGGTAAACACTACTGACTGAGCTATATTAAGTTGTTTTTTTTCGTTTTCTATTTTTCTTTTTTAGGATTCTTTTTCAAAGACAGGGTTTCAAAGACAGCGTTTCAAGACAGGCTGGCCTCGAATCCCTGATCCTCCTGTGTCCAACCCCCCAGTCCTGGGATTATAGGTGTGCACCACCAGGCCACTTTTTTAAACTGAAAAAAGCAAAGCACACAGAGATGACAGGGTATAAAGAATAGAGAAGAAAATGCTCCCTCACCCTCAGCTCTACTAAGCCCCTCTAGCACAGAACCATTGTCCACAGTCTGCTGCAGACTTCCAGCTACTCAATGTCTTTATCATCAAAAAATGTTTCCATATGGAACTACATAGACAGCTGCACACTGCATGCTTCTGCTGACAACAGATGGGGTTTATGATGGAGGTCACATATGATTACAACAAAGCTGAGAAGTTCCTATTGCCCAGTTAAAAACATGGCAGTCTTAATATCTCGGTGCAACACATGACTCCGATTCTGAGGTAATGCTGGTGTGCTACCAGCTGGGTAAGAGCACACATATATGGTATATATAATGTATGATACCTGACCGTGGCCATAAATAACTATGCTATTGGTTTGTGCATGTAACACACTAGACTATAAAAAGTTTTTTCATTTGTGCGTTAGTGTGTATGTGTAAATTTGTATGGGTGGGTGTACATATGTGTGGTTAGAGGACAAGCTGGAGTGCTGTTGCTCAGGTGCCATTCATACTGTTTTTTTGAGACAGGGTCTCTCATTGGCTTGGAACTCACCCACTGGGCCAGACTAGCAGGTAAGCCAGTCTCAGGCACTCACCTGCCTTCATCTCCCCAATATTAGATCACAACGTGCTCTACCACACACTTTTCATGTGGATTCTATAGAGCTCGGGTCCTTATACTGTATAGCAAATACTTTATCAACGCAGCTACACCCCCAACCCAAATTATATCTTTAATCATTATTTTAGTATATTTCTACCTATTAAAAAACAGTTTATTGTGGGCTGGAGCGATGGGTCAGTGGTTAAGCGTACATGCTGCTCTTGCAGAGGACCAGAGATGGGGTCCCAGTACCCATTTGGGGCAGATCATACTGCCTGCAACTCCAGCTCCAGGGGATCTGATGCCTTGCTTTGGACTCTGAGGGCACATGTACATACCAGTACACAGACACACACATATTCATAACTAAAAATAATAATAAAAGCTGGGCGTGGTGGCACACCCTTTAATCCCAGTACTTCGGTGGCAGAGGCAGATGGATCTCTGTGAGGTTGAGGCCAGCATGGTCTACATATTGAATTCCAGGCCCACTGAGGCTATAGGGAGAAGCTGTCTCAAAAACAACAACCAAACCAAACCAAACCAAACCAAGCCACCACCACCACAACAACAAAAACCAAAACCTTATTATAAAACAGCATACTCTGACATAAGCAGAAGCCTCATAGACAAATCAACTATATGTGTTGGCTGCACTGAAGAGCCAGGTATGGGGGTGCATGCCTGCAGTCCCAGCACTGAAGAGGCTGAAGCAGGAGGATCACAAGTTTCAGAACAGCCTGGGTTACGTGGTAAAACCTTGTCTCTTTGTGTAATCACTGTTATTCGTATCACAATGGCAAAACTGCCTCACCCTTTCTCAGAATGACTCCCCATTGATAAAAATAATGATTGTGCATGTGTGCATGAGTGAATGCATGCATGTGCTTTTTGCTACTTCCATAAATGAGATGCAAGAGCTATTTTCTGAGATGCACCTTCTTACTCAGTGGTCCATGTCAGGTCACAAGGTGGAGCAAGTAGCACTACTTTCAGGGTACTCAGATGTGAAGGTGCAGGGTAGAACTGAACACTTTGCCTGTCCCTACACACCTCACAGCTGGCCTCCTGAGAGGCAATTCACATCCATATCCACACAGCACGGTGACTATGCTCCTAAAGCCTCAACAACAGTGGCTGACACCAGTTAAAAATAAGCTTCTGACATCACAACAGGCAAAATCATCTTTCACTGATGTAATTTACAAATTCCTAATTGTTAAAAATTAGCATTTTCCTTACATGCATTAATTATGGACATTGCTTCTGTGAGCTTCCTGATCCTTCATCCACTGTTCTGCAGGATGGGTTCTCTATTACTGTGGATTTGTGGGTTTATATATATGGTAGTATAAATATGCATATATACACATATATAAATGTGTCTGTGCATATGCTCTACTGTTGAACCATACTTGAAGCCCTTTCCTGGGGGATTCTGGGCAGGTGCCCTACCACTGAGCCACACCCCAGCCACTCACTGGGGGATTCTAGGCAGGAGCTCTACCACTGAATCACATCCCATTCTCTCACTGGGGGATTCTAGGCGGGTGTTCTACCACTGAACCACATCTCCAGCCCCTCACTGGCAGGAGTCAGGGTAATTCTAGATAGGTCCTCTCCCACTGAGCCAGGCCCCAAACCCTCACTGACTGTTAGGATTATAAACAAATGCTCCTAACAGCTACATCCGTAGCTTGGTCTTTGTGTTTTTTGGACATGTATTCATTTGCCTTTTAAACTGGTTGTGACAATTTTATTCCTGTAAGCATCTGTGCTCTAATTTGGATTATGTCTTCTCATTTTTCTCCCTACATTTAAAGATACTGTGCTGCTTCCTTCTCAGAAAAGAAAATTTAAAATGCTTAAAGAAATGACAAATTTTGGCATTACCTTTTTGGGTATCTTTTGGAATTTAAAATTTAAAGGTTCTTGTATTACTGTTCTTAACTTCATTTAGGGCACAAATGAAGGTGCCCCCCCCCCCCCCCCCCCC